ATGGTAACTTTGCACTATGCGTGTACTTCATTCCATGGTACATTGAACTTTTAACTTATTTACCCGTATTCTGTTTGAAATTATGTTAATATCGCCTACGTTGTTTTTGTTAATTTAAGGAATAATGGTTATCCTGAAATTAAATTGTGTTTTTCAGGAGGGAGTTTAGTTAGTATCAAGCTACGGCTGCTGTATCTGTGCGACAGGAGTTGTAGTTTTGAAAGGAGCCATGCACGTATTTATTCTATAATTCATAATATCTCATTTCGTGCGTGATACTAATTGGTAATGTTATCTATCGGGTGGATGCAGAGATTCATACTATAGTTGTATTGCCAGTAAATTGAATAGACACCTGGTGTTAAAATAGCAAAACTGAAGTTAAAACATCTCTTGGTAGTCTCACTAATAGTTCTATTATATAAATGAGTTATTAGCACCAAGTACTATTTTATAAAACATGTATTCATAGACAGATTACAAATGGTATTTAACATCTTGTTTTCACTTTGGATAATGACAGTTATTTGTTGGCCGTGGGTTTGTATATTATGAATTATTTACTCAAAGGACATCATAATTGTTATTGATTCATGGACGCTTTTCTTGATCTTCAAAGTAATAGGACGACAGCTCTCAGACAACTGCCCCTTGACATCTTACTCAGTAGGACCTGTGATAACTGTCCCAAAAGTTATCCAGGGCTGTTGTCCTGGAACTTATTATCATCAGTATACGTTGAACTTACTTTCCCGCCAATAAGACAGACAGACTGGTTTGGACAGCTTATTCCCTTTGAATTGCAGTCTTCTCTTAGCAAATGTAAACACCGAGTAGTCTCTCCTTATGACATGTAGATAGAAATAATATCTGTTCATGCACGAAGAATGCCCTCTCTTAATTTCCAATGTATTTTTTTTCATAACTCTTTTTAAACTAATACCACATATCTATTAACCGGCTACAATATATTTGTCGCGTGTTTTATAAAAAATAAAATGACAAATTCAACCAGTATGCTAAATTTCGCGGATTAAACAATTATTGCTAAATTTACTAAACCTCAATGACGTCAGCAATTTACGTTGTATAGTATTATTATAATTTATATCAAATTACTAACTTTTAAATATGCACACTCGAGATTCAAAAAAACACATTCACAACAGACACGCCACACTCGCCGACCCAAACAGTCGGTTCCACACAGCGACCAGAAGACAACTCAGGCAACTCGGTAATATCAGTATGTTAAATCATGCAGCCGTGTTTTATAAATCAATGTTCCCAGCAAATCAGCAAAAGAGTGGGGATACAATAACCTAATAATAGTAATTTAATATCTAATATCAGTTTTGTTTTCAGACAACATTTCTGCATACAAGTAATGGTAACAGATACAGTGAGAGAAAAAATAAACAAAACAATTGAAAAAATACCGCCAATTTCATAACAGAAATATAGATATCACAAACAATATTGTTTCATTTCAGAGGTGTACAATATTCTACATTACATTGCTTTTCATTAATTAGGTATGAATCTATTCATCTACAAAAAATATGAAGGTAATATTTAAAGTTGTCAGAACCTGATTTCGAAAACCAAAAACGATAAATTTTACAACCAATCATTAGAGTTGGACTAATGTTATTAATATTGATAATGTAATGTTACTCCATTGGATGGTACATCCCTAAACATTATTTTGAAGAATTAATTACTGATTTAAAAATCGGAACGTAATATAATGACTTCTGTATTTCAACTATATGTTACTAAGTTACTACTAATTTTTCCAAATTATGATGTCGCTTTCATCATTATTAATCATTATTTCATCTTCTTTAAAATAACAACAATGATCCCTCAAATATTTCAAGCTCGCCTCAACCTCATTTGGTGGTCGTGAATTCCTAAAATTTACAATTTCGTTAATGAAATCTAGCAATCTATTACCATCTCTTGAATCTTTGTCAAAACACTTAGTGACAGTGACTTCGATAGGGCCGTGA